GGAATTCTCCAGACAAGAATATTGGAGTGGGTTGCCATTCTCTTCTCCAGAAGTTCTTCCCAACTCAGGGATCGAACCCAGGTCTCCTGTATTGCACATATTCTTTACCATCTGAGCCACCAGGAAAGCCCCTGGTGGAGAAAAGAGATTGTCAAATGTTTCCAACTAGTGTATTCACATTTCTCTATGGTGGTGAAGTCAGGTTACTGGACTGAGAAGAGGAGAGGTTGTGATGATGGAGGGGTTCCTCCGCAGACCACCTGACACGTCTGGATTTCTCGCTCTCTGGACCGCTGGTTGCTGTTTGAAGTGAGTGATGGCAGTGCTGCTGCCACTGTTGAATCCTTCCATCAGGCAGCTGAGCCACATGCCTGCACAAGATGAGTTGTGCTCAGAAGGAAGACGGCATAGACGTTGGAGCGGAAACATCAAAAAGGACTGTTATTTCAGTGAGATGTGTCCTGGCATTGCCACAAATGTATTTCCATCCCCGGGGCAGAATTCCTGAATTTTGGTGCTGTCCCTGCATCTCTGCTCCCCTGCTCCTCTCCTTGGAATGTTCTTCCTGCCACTTCATCATCTGGTGGATCTCCACTCACCCTGTAACACTCAACTCCGGCAAGACCTCACTCCATAAACCATCTCTGGCCCACTCTGGCCAGCCAGGCTTCACTGTTCTCCGAGATTGCCAAATTCTCTTGAAGACTATGCTTATGTGTTTGCCAGGCTTCCCTGGTGGCTCAGATGGTAAAGAGTCTGCCTGACATGCAGACCTGGGTTTGATCCTTAAATCAGGAAGATCCCCTGGAGAAGAAAATGGCAACCCACCCCAGTATTCTTGCCTGGAGAATTCCATGAACAGAGGAGCCTGGTGAGCTACAGTCCATGGGGTCACAAAGAGTCAGACAGGACTGGGTGACTAACACTATCACTATGCGTTTGTCAGAGGCACAGTGATAATGTCAGCCCATGACTATGTCCTCTGTTAGACTGGAGTTCCTGAGTGCAGGAACTGGGCATCTCAGAGTCTAGCAAAGACCTGGACATACACAGGAAACACTCAGCCATCTTTGTGCAAAGATTGGCCTTCATAGTTGCAATTGTTTGGTTTGGTTTCATATTTTCAAATCTTGCTCTCATATATAAGGCATGGAAGAAGACAGAATGTGTGCTGTGTGGTGTCATTTGAAATGTGCAAGTAAATGGTGTCAGGCAGGGTACTTAGCCTCTAAATGTGACATATCCCCTCCCATCTAAATTGAACCTGAAATTACTCCATTAAAAGTCATCCCCCAATTTAGACTCCACTGGCTAATCTATAAATACCCCTTGAGAGCATAAACTACTAAGTTCAGTGCTTCTTAGCTGAATGTGCTTATGAACCACTCGGGGATCTTGTTAAAACCCAGACTCTGATTCTGGGGGAGGGAAGGCTGAAATTCTGCATTTCAAATTAGCTGCTTGTCTGCAGATCTCACTTTGATGGCCATGATCTAGGCAGTACTCTTCAAACCTTAAAGTGTATCAGAGTCACTTGGAGGGCCTCTTAAAGCCCACCCCCTGATTTTCTGATTCAGTAGGTATAGATTAAGACTTCGCATTTCTGCTTCTTTTTAAATTAATTTATTTTAGTTGAAGGATAAATACTTTACAATATTGTGATGGTTTTTGCCATACATCAACGTGAATTGGCCACAGGTACACTTGTGTCCCGACATCCTGAACCCCCCTACCCACTTCGTCCCCACCCTATCCCACAAAATAACTCTCAGTTCCTAATGTGGAATTCTCCTCCAAGGAAAGAGAAGAATCTGGAGAACAGGAAGTGGAAGAAACCATAAGGGTATTGTAACCACCCTTCCGAGAGTCATGGATAAACCTAGAAATGGGGCTTGCTTCATGGGCTGATTGTCACCTGGGGCCTCACACTTAGAAGACCCCACATTTGGTTTAGTGCTCTGCCATCTTGAAATGTGCAATTATCTGGAGCAAGAAGCCCAAGATAGGCCCTGCAAATTATGCAGCCAGTATCGGCTGGTAATATCTTATAGTCCTGAGTAACACAAGCTGAATGCTCTTCTAAAAGATGGCAGTTTATATACTTAGGGTGACCTCTGATTTTAGATTCTGAAAGATAGGGAATGAGTGATGAGTTGGAAGATATTAAAAGTAATATAGAGGTCATTGAGAACAGGAAATTGAACACAAAGTGAGAATGGGAGAGAGGTCTAAAGCTAACAAGAAAATGATATCACTAACAGTAGAATAATATAGAAGCAGTAAAAAACAAAAAACAAAAACTTTATCTGACAGCATGGGGGAAATGACTGGCATTGTGACTGAAATGCCATATTGAAAATTGGGAAAGATTTTTAAAAAATAATAAAGATCATTATTTTAATATCCAAGATCATAACTAGTAATTTTTTCTTTTTACTGAGAATTGAATAAGGGGAAATTAGCCCTAGTTTTCTGAAGGACACACTTAGGATAAATAGAAGAAAATCTTTTATGTGTATATATAGCACAGTAAATTATCAAAGCTCCAAGACAGTTATATTTTTTGCTGCTCACTCTTCATGTCCCTGCCTTTCTTTTCCTCCTTCCTTTTCTGTTTTTCTTTCTTCTCTTCCCTTCCCTTAACTTCTGGAAAGGAGCAAGAAATAATAGTATTTGTACCAGATTGTATTTGAAATTTCAGTCTAGGCCAAAGGTCCTGGAAATCCGCCTTGTCTGCCGTATGGAAGTAGCTCATCCAGCGGCAGTGGTGGCTGTGACTAGGTAAACAGATGGATCTAGTTGGGCAGTGTGGTTAGTAGGACAAGCCACTCCAGTGTTCTTGCCTGGAGAATCCCAGGGACGGGAGCCTGGCGGGGTGCCGTCTATGGGGTCACACAGAGTCGGACATGACCGACGTGACTTGGCAGTAGCAGTAACTCTGTGGTTAGTGGGGTTTACATACGGGAAGTGGTTTATACATTGGAGGACAGGCAGCACCACCATCGCTTTTAAAGAAATGATAGAAAAAACTTGCAGATAGTCTTTGCATCCCTAAGGAAACAAACTGAAGATGACCAAGGCCGCTACTCCTTACCCCCTGCCCTCCTTCACTCCAGGCATGTGACCAGATGGACAGTCTTTATAGCTATACTGGTTCAGGGGAAATTCTAGATCTTAGTATTGAGGGTAGAGAGCTCCAAGGAATTTCCAAACAGTTTGTAAAATTCTATCTGTCTCTCTTTCTTTCAGGCTTAATAATGTCAACAAAAAGAAATTTACAACTAGCTTTTAAGAAATCCCAGGGGCATTTGTATCAGCATGCGTTAATGTCTCATTATATTTTATGGCTTTCAAGACTCTTATAATAGGTTACTGGGGTTAACTCAGGTACTTCTTTCTTTAGAATAGCTTCAGAATAAAATAACAAACATAGGGACTAAAATGGGGTCGGTAAAAATAGTTCTGGAGGCAGAGGGGAGAGATTGGGTGCTTCTGACATCTCATCAACCTCAAACCTGAAAAATAGCCCAATTGGAAGCCTGATGAAGGTAATAAATGAGAATTGTGAAATATAAGCTAATAATTAAAAAACATTAGGTTTCAAAAATTGGGCAGGTAGATGAGAAAACATAGTTACGGTAGCTTTGATTTTGGATTTGCAGCAAAGTATCAGGAGTGGAGTTTCTGTTTCTTTAATTAGCTCAGTGAGGTGCACCTAAAAATGGATCTGGGAAGTCAGAGATGATCCTTGGAAGGTCTGAGCCTGCACTGTCCAGTCCTACAGCCACTAGCTACGTGTGGCTATTTAACTTCATGAAAGTTAAATGCTATTAAAAATTTAGTTCTTCATTTGTTCAGCTCAGTTCAGTTGCTCAGTCGTGTCTGACTCTTTGCAACCCCATGGACTGCAGCATGCCAGGCTTCCCTGTCCATCACCAACTCCTGGAGCTTGTTCAAATGCATGTCCATTGAGTCGGTGATGCCATCTAACCATCTCATCCTCTGTTGTCCCCTTCTCCTGCCTTCAGTCTTTCCCAGCATCAGGGTCTTCATTTGTGCTAGCCACATTTCAAGTGCTCCAGAGCTACCTGTGGCAAGTGGCTACCGTATTGGACAGTACAGTTATAGACCAATTCCTTTTTTACAGGATGTGCTGGCAGATGAACTATCTGCATGTTCACATTTGCATTAATATTAAATACTTTAAAAGGGTTAACTTTGGTATTTTTGAAAACTATTTATTACAGATATTATTGTTTGGATGAGAATTATTTAAACTTAAAAATATATTTATTTGAATGAACTATTAATTGAGAGTTATTTAGTAAAATACAGACAAGAAGGCATGTGATCAATACTAAGTAAATGAGAATCAAGTCTGAAAACTTAATTTTAAGAATAAATAATAGTATATTCTGCAGTATAAGGAAATTATGTTGGGTAACATATAAATAAAATTGAAATGAAGCCTTGCAGCAAAAAATAGGTAAATAAATAAGTAAAAAGCATTGAAGGAAAATGATAAGGGATGAAGTCTAGCATAGGTTATTAGTGCAAATCTCGGGGGAAAAACAGAGATAGGAATTTGTAAATAAAATCAGCAAAGGAAGGAAAAGAAAGGCTCATAGGTAAGTCTAAAGCTTTGGGAAAGAAAACGTGAAGAAATTTAAAGAGAAATAGCAAAGTTAGGAAAGTATCTGCAAAAGCTATGACAAGAGGACTTTTAATGTGGAGAGCTCATACCAGTGGAGAGGAAAACCCAGACTCTTGTAGGCATATGGGCAAAGGATAAGAAAAGCATTTGCAGAAGGGGAAACAAAACTTGAACACATGGGGAAATACTTTTCTTCATTAATGATCAAAGAAAGAAATTAAAACAAAATGAGATTTGATGGAACATTTATCAAAGCAGCAAAGAGCGGGAAAATGATGGAAAGAATGAGATATGATGTGATCAAAGCAAGGGAGAGTGCAGGAAATGGGCCACTTTCTCACGGTTGTCAGAACGTCCATTGCGGTAACTCCTCCAGAGAGCCGTCTAGTAAAACGTTATCAGGAAAATGTGCACAGCCTGGGACCACTGATTCCACTTCTGGCTCTGGTTCCAAGGAAGGAATCCAGAAGATGTCCAGCACTTTCTGTACAGAAGTGGCCTTGAAAATAGCAAGATATGGTGAAATCATGGCACAATGGCAGGACAGAATATTCTACAAAAAATAATGCTGTGAAGAGTTTTGACTTTATTTTAAAGTGATTGATATAATGGTGGGTGATTTAGTCACTAAATCATGTCTCACTCTTTTGCAACCCCATGGACTGTAGCCTGCCAGGCTCCTCTGTCCTTGGAATTTCCCAGGCAAGAATACTGGAGTGGGTTGTCACTTCCTTCTCCAGTGGATCTTCTTGGCCCAGGGATCAAACCTATGTCTCCTGCTTGGCAGGGAGTTTCTTTACCACTGAGCCACTTGGGAAGCCTGATCCATGCAATATCTGAATACAAATTCAAGTTTTTGAAAAACCCAAGATATAGAAAGTAAGAGACTTCCTTTATCTTTTCCTTCAGTCCCATTAGCCTCTCCCAAGTTTGCGCAGTACCTTTAGTCAGTTTCCCATTGATCTGTCCACCTTCCCATCTGAAATCACACTATGTAGCGTGTACATTATACTCTGTGGGGTTTTGCTTTAAACGCAAATGAGAGCATGCATCAACAAAATTTTACAACTTGCCTTTTCCATTTAAAACTTTGAGTCTTTTCCCTTTTGGTATACAGTGATCTCCCTAACTCTTTTTAGCTGCTTCATGGTGGTTCCTACGTTGTCAAAGGCTTCTTTTTAAACCATTCTCCTTCTGATGAGTATTTATGCTGCTTTCAACATTCTGCTATGAAAACCAGTACTGCAACAAGGACGGTCTCTGTGCTCCTTTGTGCTCATGTATCAATGTTTCTCTAGGATCCACAGCCAGAAGTGAAATCAGTGGTTTCCAATGGCAAGTGCATTTTAGAATTATGCTATATATTGTATATGAGGACCTGTTTGTCCATACTCTATGTCACACTGAATATTTTCAAAGCTTTAACATTTCTACCAGTCTGGTAGGTGAGCATTGTATATAACTGCTTTAATAATGTTGAATTATTTGTATTTTGCTGCATATTAATCAATGATTTTATGTTGAAAGTCAACCATCTTTTGCCTTTTAAAACTCTTTAATGGTACCTTTACCATAAAGTTTAAGGGGGCTTTTTTTGTGGTCAAATTTATCAGCCTATTGCTATGGCTGTGACCTGATATCCTGCTTATAATGGCCGTCACTCCCCAGGGTTTTTTAAAAAATATTCATGTGCATTTTCTTGTAATATTTTCCTGACTTATTTCTTTCCTTCTAGCTTATAATCCATCTACAAGTTATATTGCTAGCTGTGAGTGAAAGCTTAAATTGTAAAAACAGGTGCAAAAGCAATATGAAACAAAAAAAGCATGCACAGAAAACAAATTAAACACACCAAAACAATATCAGTGGTTGTCTTTGGGTAGGGAGGTTAGATTAGATGTGTTTTTTTCCTTTGACCTATTTTTATGTTTCAGCTTTTAAATAGTATTGGTTATATTTATAAGATATAGTGGCCTCTTATGTTCTTTTTCTGCTGAGGACAGCAGTCCCCCTTTTCCCCTTTAGCCATGTTGTACAATGAAGGCCACCAGTCACAGCTTTCCACCCTTGGCCACAGACACAGACTCACAACTCAAGGGCCTTCCAGGGTCTTTTGCTAGGAGTTCTTTAACAGTTGCAGATGCAGAGAGCGCCTTTGCTTCTGGTTATAAGACTGACAGATGCATGGTCAGAGCTGCCTATGACCTGGCTCTAGCTGGCCAGATAATGAAACAAGTCACACAAACACACAGAGAGAAAGACAGACAACCACATATCACGTAAGCCCTGAATCTAAATTTCCCCAAACCCAGGCTCATCTGTGGTTGAGTTATTGTTGTCCAGTCACTCAGTCATGTCTGACTCTGAGACCCCATGAACTGCAGCACACAAGGCTTCGCTGTCCTTCACTATCTCCCTGAGTTTGCTCAAACTCCTGTCCATTGAGTCAGTGATGCTATCTAACAATCTCTTCCTCTGTCACCCTCTTTTCCTTTTGCCTTCAATCTTTCCCAGCATCAGGGTCTTTTCCAATGAGTTGGCTCTTCGCATCAGGTGGCCAAAGTACTGGAGCTTCATCAGTCCTTCCAACAAATGTTCAGGATTGATTTCCTTTAGGATTGACTGGTTTGATCTCCTTGCAGTCCCAGGGACTCTCCAGAGTCTTCTCCAGTATCACAGTTCAAAAGCATCAATTCTTCAGCTCTCAGCCTTCTCTGTGGTCCTATTCGCATATCCATTCGTGACTACTGGGAAAACCATTAACTTTGATTAAATGGATCTTTGTCGGCAAAGTGATGCCTCTGCTTTTTAATGTTTTAGAATTTTAATTTTTAAAATGTGGTTGAGTTACCCAAATGAATAAATCCCTTCCCTTCTTTTTCATTTTGGGTGAATGGGGACTTCAGTTACTTGTACCAGAAGTATCTTGGATTTTTTTAAAAAAGCAAAAGGAAAAGAAAGATGAGAGCAAAACTTCAGAGATATGAGAATATCATTAGCAGGAAGTAAATATACATCTTGGGTGGAGGCAATCTTCACTTTGTGGGAAAAGATGTTAATACAAATAATATAAAGTAGCAACTACTTGGTTGGTAGTCATTAGGGCATCTTACCACCAAAGATATAACTAGCAAAATAAGATGGCAGCAAGTGTCTGCACACTTTCATAATTTTGGATTCCCAGCAAAGCAGGGAGGGGCTATGGAATTAAGGGTGAGAGTGATCAGAACAGAGAGGGCAGTCCTAAGATACAGCACAATACATTGGCTTGGAGGACTTGTCTATAAAAAATCCTACATACGTTTGTAGGTTTACACACTAGATGCCATTTGTGTAATTGGCATTTGAATAACTGGATTTGAATAATAGGCATTTGCCTTAATCTTAAAGCATACTTCAGGTCCATATCTTCCTTTATAGTACTCAAAAGTTGAAAGACCTTAAAGACTACAACTCATTGATCCTACTTTGTGAACTCTGCCGAGATCAGGGGACTTAACCAGTTGGTGGCTCAGATGGTAAAGAATCTGCCTGCAATGCAGGAAACCTGGATTCGATACCTGGGTCGGGAAGATCCCCTGGAGGAGGGCATGGCTACCCACTCCAGTATTCTTGCCTGGAGAATCCCCATGGACAAAGGAGCCTGCGAGACTACAGTCCATGGGGTTGCAAAGAGTTGGATACGACTGAGCGACTAAGCATATTACATAACTAGTCATACAGCGAATAATCCTCAGATCAGGATTCAAACTCATGTCTCTGGGATCCCAGTCCAGTGTTCTTTCTATTGCCCTTCAAGTTCAAATGTAAGATGACCAGCATGATCAGGAAACAAACAAAACCCCTCTCTCTCTACACACATACACACACACCCCCCCTACACCCCACCCCACCCCACCCCAAAACAGCAAATGTGTGTCTCATAAAAAAAGTAATTCTATCAGTTTTATGCTCACTAAAAATAATAATATTGAAAAATTGAAAAAAGATCCAAGTCTCTGGGAGATATTTTAAAGAACTGTGTAGAAAGTACGTTGTGTTGTTGAGAGTTTGAGTTAATCGCTCATGGAAGAAACATTTATCTGGGTGGAGGTTTATGCTTGACTTACATAGGCTTTTAGCCTGAAGGGTGTAATAGATGAGTGATTCTCTTAACCTTAATCTATTTTTCATACGGTGGGATGACAGTCATCATCTGAAACCATTTTTAAGTTTCCCAGAACTGTGGAAAAACTAACTTAATCTTACTGTTATAACTTGTTTAAAGGGCAGATTTTTTACTTTTAGTTTTAGAGTAATTTTTAAAAGGAGCTGCCACGCTCAAGGAATCCATCTATCTAAGGTTCTCAAGGACAGAAAAGAGCTCTCATGTGAGGGCAGGCATTTGCTACATGTCTGTCCTGGTTATGGTTATACTTTGTGACCTCAGTTCAGTTCAGTTCAGTTGCTCAGTTGTGTCCGACTCTTTGCCGTCCCATGGACCACAGCACGCCAGGCTTCCCTGTCCATCACCAACTCCTGGAGCTTGCTCAAACTCACATTCATCGAGTTGGTGATGCCATTCAACCATCTCATCCTCTGTCATCCCCTTCTCCTCTTGCTTTTAATCTTTCCCAGCATCAGGGTCTTTTCCAATGAGTCAGTTCTTTGTGATCTGGGGAGTGTGATTATTCTTTCTCTGAATCTTAGATTTAAAAAAACTGAACAAAATGTTAAACTGAGCCTGATTTTCTCTGTACAATTTCTTAGTACATGTTTTTAAAAAATTCTTTGGGTATCTTTGGGACTCAGAATTCAATGGTTTAAGAATCATTTAGGATCAGAAGAAACCAGGCACGAGGTAGCCAGTTGCTCCTTGGTTGTGGGGTGGCACTTATTCCAAAGTCCATCATCTGTCTTCCTCATCAGCCCTTCTCCGGTTGTTCAGACAAAGCCTACAGGATGCATAAGAGAACTGATCCTGTTCCACAGAAAAAGACAGAGTTCACTACAATGCTTGAAAGCACTCGCTGCATTCGACTTTTACATTACGACCGTACTGTTTCTCAGTTTGTTTTAATATTTTTATTTATATTAAATATAATATGAAATATATACTTACCTGAGAAATATATAATAAATTTTAATAAATATAATTATAGATTATTACAATAAATAGAGAAAAATAAGTGTCACATATATGTAGAATTTAGAAAAATGGTCTTATTTAGAAAGATGGTCTTATTTGCAAAGCAGAAATAGAAATACAGACACAGAGAACAAACATATGGATATCAAGGGGGAAAGGAGGTGAGGGTGGGATGAACTGGGAGATTGGGATTGACAGATACACACTACTATGTGTAAGATAGGTAATTAATGAGAACTTACTGTATAGCTCAGGGAACTCGGCTTAATGCATTGTGGTAACTTGAATGGGAAAGAAGTCCGAAAGAGAGAGGATATATGTATGAGTATGACTGATTCATTTTACTGTACATGTTTTGTTACTGTACAGTAGAAGCCAACACAACACTGTAAAGCAACGATATGCAAATAAAAAGTACTTTAAAAATAACTACAAATAATAAGAAGAAATTAAGTACATTAAATAAATATTAAGCATAAATATTTACTTTTTTTTTTAAACTTCCAGCACTCTTTACCTCCGGGCTTTATTTTCCTCTGTAGCACTTAGGGCATCTATGAAATCATAGAGTTCACTTATTTTCCTTGATGGTTATCTATTTTCCCTCTCCAGTGACGGTTATTTTGTTTGCTATTGCACACCGGTGCCAAGAAGAAGGCATGGCATTTAGCAGAGCTCAATAAATACATATTGAATGAATGGTGGCATGAATGATGACAAGTTAAACCGGACTCTCTGGAGACATGCCTTCTGTATCCCATGACTTAAGAGGCACACCTCATGCTCAATGGCACGTGTTCCCAGTATTATAAGTAAAAATGTGTTATATTTAAGGAATAGAGGAGAGGGGAGCAGTTGTCAGGCACCCATGTCTGACACCATGAGATATTAATAGTTCTTGACTTCTGAGCCCATGAGTACCATGAGCAGTGCACCATGAGCCCATGTTATGACATAATTTTTGGTTCCTGATGAATTAGGTAATTTGATTTTACTTCTTGCCGCATATGCTCTGATTTCATGAGCTTGGTCTGTAGTAGTCTGCAGTAGCCTGCAGTTACCTGGATAATACTGCTCTCCCTGCCCATCTAGATCCTTCTCTTCCCTCAAAGCCCAGCTGAGAACAAACCTCTTCTGTAACATTAACCTCAACTTAGTAGTCCCAGTACACGAAAGTCAGTCTTTTTCTCCCACTCCGAGGGGAGCATCTCGGGCCTAGCGGGACCAGGGAACACATATATGTGGACTCCATTAAGGTGGCCTGAGCGAAAGAACAGTTGATTTCAAAACACATGTAGCAATTTTGAAAGAAGGTACAATGGTGTAAATTAGTACCTCTTCCACTAAACCACGAACACCAATCACAAACTCACTTTACTCTGTCTTTCCTCTCAGTTGTCAGGAAAATACTCTCCATTATCTATGGCAGTTTCAGACATAAAAAGCTTATCTTTGGCCTGCCCACAGCCCCTTGATAAGATCTAGCTGGACTTTAAAGGCAGGTTATTATAGTTACTGACAGTTCTGAACTTGCTAAAGGAAAGTTACCTTGTTATTGTTTGACAGTACCCCCAAAACACCTTGTTTATCCACCACCATGAATATATTTACTATAAGAAGCCCTTATATAGATGTTTTTACATATGTTATACATATTAGTATATGTTATACTAATAGATATATTAGTATATGTAACTAATATATATATATATTAGTATATATATCTAATATATAACATATTAGCTGTTACACATATTAGTTCACTATCCCACAAAACAACGTAACTATTAGGGGTATATGTATTTGTGTGTGTGCTCTTGTGTTCTATTCTTTGTGACCCCATAGACTATAGCCTGCCAGGTTCTTCTGTCCATTAGGATTTCCTAGGCAGGAGTACTGGAATGGGCTGCCATTTCCTCCTCCAGGGGATCTTCCTGGCCCAGGGACTGAATCCACAGCTCCTGCCTTGCAGGTAGTCTCCAGAATTGCAGGTGGATTCTTCACCGCAGTGCCACCTGGGAAGCCATATTGGGTAGGTACTACTATTATCCCTGTTTTAAAGATAAGGAAACTGAGGCACAGAGGTAGGGTGAGTAAAGGCATATAGCTGTTAAGTTCAGAGCTGGGATTCAGATCCAGGTATTCTAGCTCCTGAGACCATGTGGTTAACCACTAGCCCACTTGTCTCACCTTTGTTCCCCTCCACCACCCTCCTTGTATCTGTCAGCCAGCCCCTTGCCTCTGATCTTTATTCTTCCTGGTCAGAGAAAGACTCTGCTGCCTTTCTCTAAAATCATTCTCCAAATCAACCAAGGGAAATTTCTTGCAGTTGGGATGAAATCACTTCTGTGACCCTTCATTCTTCACACTCACTAATACTGATTAGTTTACTTCTTAGCTGACCCCTCTGCTGTTTCATGCTTTGATCAAGCACACCCATCTCAAAATGCTCAGACCATTTCCTTCCCTCTCTCTCTGAATTCTCCAGTGGAATATTGACATGAGAAGTTCCACCGGAAAATGCCTTGATCTGAATGAAGTTTGGGGAAGATGAATCTGGGGCTTATATTTGGAGAGGGTCAGTGGATAGGAAGCTTGCTAGAAATGCTAACTTTTATGGTCATGAAATTCTGTAGGAGCTTGGGAATGAGAAGGAATGAGTGGATTCCAGAGACATTTCAGAAAGACCAGTGGAGTTGTGGGCAACTGCCTCTAGGAATAAGGTAGAGAAGGGAATGAATAAAATAACCGCTATTTTGGGCCTGAATGATTCTAATGAGCATGTCATTACTGAAATAGGTCTATCAGGAAGCTAATCTTATTCAGGGAGAACAAAAAGTTCATTTTAGAATCTTCATCATCATCCCAGTGGAAATGTTCAACAGTTGGAAGACACCATAAGTGAGCATTTAATGAGCAGCCTTCCAGAGTCTAACAGGGCATGTGATGTTAAATCTACAGTCATTACCGTGAAAGGGAGCTGGGCAAAGGCATCGTTTTCACTGGTCTTCTGAAGGCACCTGCATAGTGTTTGGAGATCCTCCAGAGCCCTCAGCAACAAAGGTGGAGCTGGCTTATAATCTGAATGTAAACAACGCGGCTTACCATACAGCCTAACCCCAAACACTAGCAAATGACTTTTCTTTGTCACACCTAAGAATCCTTAGAAAGTGACAATGTCATGTGGCAAACTGGTTCTGTGCTTGGTTTCCACACTTGATCTCACTTCATATTAATTTTTACAACAACAAACTCAAGTAATCTTGAACCCTTGCCCCAGTTTGCTTCTCTCAAGGTCCGGACAGCGCCAGCAGTCTGCACATTGAATGGTGAGAGCCAAAAGCTTCTTGCAATTTAGCTGTTAAAATCAGGCACTTAAGATAAAAAATGCAGAAATAAAAGATGAAAAAAAAAAAAAAAAGCACAGCGCCAAGAGAACTCAAAAGACAGGGCCTAGAGCGGTGTATTCAAGGAGCCGGAGAGATTGGCGGGCAATGTCCAGAAACAGCATCTCAAAAATCCAAATGATTCAGGTTAGCAATTAACCCCAATTCTCGGGTTGGTCCACCTTCCTCGAGATTTCGTACAAGCTCAAGAGTAGTCAAGCCTTGCCCGGTAAAGATCATCAAATGACTTGTGGCAAATCTCTTCCTTCAAAAGTCTGACTTGGACCGCCAACCTTACTTCTAGAAGCCCGGTCGATCCTCTTTTCGAAGGGAATAAGCTGCCGTGGGCTAGCGCGGGCCCCTGCGGCTCGCCGGGCCGACTGGTCGGAGGGACCCGATTTTCGGAGGCTGCGGGTTGGAGAAATAAATCCAGTCCGGGTTTTGTCTGCACGGGGGAGGGGGACCGGAGGGCTGCGAGGAACGGCTCGCGAAGAGGGGGGCGGTGGTGGAAAACACACAACACAAACAGCTCGCGCCGGGGAACGGCAGCTGTAGGCCCGGAGCGCGCGGGCCCGGCCGCCGGCCGCATGGAGCGCAGCGCGGCCCGACGCCTCGTCTCCGGTGCTGCTGCTTCTGGGGGAGGAAGACGAGGACGAAGAGGGCGGGAGCCGGCGGCGGAGGGGGCTCGGGCGGGCGCCGGCGAAGCCCCGAGGGGGCGCGGAGGAGGAGGATGACGACGACGAGGACGAGGACGAGGAGGTGGTCGTCGAGGTGGTGGACGGCGACGACGACGACGAGGACGGCGACGAGCGCTTCGTGGCCCTCGGCCCCGGCCGCGCGCTCCCCAAGGGCCCGGCCCGGGGCGCCTTGAAGGTGCGAGCCGGCTGCGGGGGCGCGCGCGGGGACCCTCGGGCGCGGGGAGGGGACGGGCCCCGGGCTCCGGCGCAGCGCCGGCTGCAGCCAGCACCGGCGACCGCAGAGGCCGGCCCGGGAGGGGTGTGTCCGGCGGCCGCGCGGGCCGAGCGAGGGGACTGATGAAGCTCAACGCTCGGGCCCCACACCTTCCCCGGGCGGCCGCTCCCCCTTTCCTCCAGGGCCGGCCGGCCGGGCGTGCTCGTCCGGGGTGGGTTGCGGGCAAAGGACGCTTCTCCCGGGTGAGGCGGGGAACTTGGAGGCGGGACGAGGTAGGAGCGGGTCTGCGCCTGGTGGGGACGGGCGAGGTAGGGGGCCGTGAGGTCATATTCCTCCCCGGGAAGCTCGAGGGTCCCCCTTCCCCTTATTCCGGGGACGAGTCTAGCGCGTGGAAACTAGCAAACTGCTTCTCTTGTCAATCTCTCAACCCCTTCTGCATCCGAGAACAATTGTGGGTGAGTTTCCATCACCGGCGCCTGTGAGGGAACCGGTAAGCCCAGGACAGGACACAAACCAAGCCCTGGGTTTCTACATGCATTTTGCTGGCAGCTTTTGGCAGTGCCTGCCACCCCCCAACCCCCCACCCCCGTTTAAACTCGACATTGTTTAGCATTTGTGATATTTTTCCCCCCTCCTCAAAATTGCAAATGAGAGGAAAAAAAAAAAAGGAAACCAGAGGAAGTGGGGGTCATTTGGCATTTAAAATGGACGTGAGTTTCAGCTGAGAATTCAAGCAAAGTCCCTTGTGTCCTGAAGCACTGAGAGATCTTTCCGTTTGTGTATCTTCAGGAGATAAGGGGTTTATTATTACACAACTGACTGGCTGGGCTTTCAGGCATGTGATTGGATAAAGCAAACCACGTTGAGGTTCATACACAGTGTATGTTGCTAAGAAGTTTTGAGGGCAGCAAGTGGTAAGCAATGGAGTGAGTGATTTTTCTGAAGAGTGGTGGTTAAAATCCACTGAATAACACTGTTGATGGGAGTTTTCACAAGATATTGGTATTTCAGGAAGAAAAATACATGAGCTTAATAGATAGAGACTATTAAAAAAAATAAAAACCTTTAAAAAAAAAGGAACCAGCAAAAAAGTCACTCCTCAAAGCATGAAATTGCAGTTCCAAAGAAATGTTAAATATTAGCATTTGAAGAGCCCCAGAGTAGACATGGGCACAACTTTCTTTCCTAGACCACCCTGGAAGTACCAGCTCTGGGAGTGAGAAATTTTCAGCAAGTGGTCATTTGGGATGATAGTTTTTGACAGTTGCTTGTTGGAATCCAGACCATGACCACCCTCATTACCATGGTCTAATAAAAAGCCTGCATTGTATGGCTACAGGATATAGCTGGGTTTGGAATTAAATCACATGGCATCAGTGACATTAAGTAACAAGAGTAGTGACTCCTTACCATTTTTGTCCAGAAATACTGAAAAGATGTCTTTTGGACAGTTGTTGCACAAGTTGTGATGGAAAAACTAATTATAATTTATGTCCTGTGATCAAAGCAAACCCAGTATAGAAAAAAAAATCAAATTTATAAAAACCAAAGAACTAGAATGTGATCATTCATATTATCAGAAAAAGATTTTCACATCTCCAGGAAAATTTCTGTTAAATTCTTTCTAAATGGGTCTTATTTTATAACATTTTGGGTTGCCCATAACTTTTCAGGAATTTATATATTGAATAGTTTGAGGTATAATTTTATAATCTTTGCTGCTTTAAAGTCATCTTGACACTACATCTAAAGAGGTTTTCTAATGAATAAAATAGGATCATTTTATTCTAATGCATTTAAGACTGTCAATTTGTTGTTTAGTCTCTAACTCATGTCCAACTCTTTGCCACCCCATGAACTGTAGCCTGTCAGGCTCCTCTGTCCCTGGAATTCTCCAGGCAAGAATACTCATGGGATCTTCCTGACCCAGGGATCGAACCCACATCTACTTTGCAGGCAGATTCTTTATCAGTGCAGATTCTTCCCACCCGGGAAGCCCAAGAATGTCAATATTTTATATATACTTAGGCATTCATGCATTCACATATTTATTAAGCACCTACTATGTGCCAGGTACTATTCTAGAACACAGCACCTTTCAGATGCCCATATCCTATAAGAGAAAGCAAAGCAACAACCATCCAAACAAATAAAGAAGCCTGGTGCTTGAGATTGTGATGCATCCCCTCATAAGGGAAATGATACCATCTAGGAGGAAGAGGAGAAAGCTAATAGAGAGAAGGCCTCCCTGAGGAGGGGACATTTGATCTGAGATTTGAGATGTGTAGTTTGGGAAGATCTTTCCAGAATAACAATTGCAAAGGTCATGAGGTGGGAAGGAGAAAAGGCCGAGTGTGGCTGCAACTTGGTAGGTAGTAGATATGTCAGGTAAGCTAGCTTACAGGCCAGCAACATAGAGCTTGGTGGGCCTTTTTAAAGTGGAGAAAAAAATATTTGCAAGGTTTTAAGCAGTAAAGGCATACAAAGTGGTTTGTATATTTTTATTAATTTTTTAATTCAAGGATAATTGCTTTACAGAACTTTGTTGCTTTCTGTCAAACCTCAACATGAATCAACCATAGGTATACATATGTCCTCTCCCTCTGGAACCTCCCTCCCATCTCCCTCCCCATCCCACCCCTCTAGGTTGATACATGGTTTGTATTTTTAATAGGGTCATGTTGTGTAGGGTATAAAAGGCAGCTGGGAGGGGCAGGGATCTAGTTCGAATGTGTTATTGAAGTGCATGTGAGAGGCCAGGCAGTTTGGACCAGAGTGGTGTTAGACACGAGGGGACAAATTCAGGATCAATTGTGAAGATCCATCTGTGATAACTTGCTGATGGATTAGGTGGCAGTGGGTGGGGGGCTGACAGACAGAAGGGAATCAGGGATGAGACCCCAGTGTAAAGGTTGGTTAGATGTGCCATTTGCTGATATTTGGAAAACTAGAGAACAATAGGTTTTTGTGAGGGGAAGAATCAAATATTCTTTTTGGGGCATGTTAAACCTGAGATGATGCTTAGACATAGGCATGGGAACTGCAGGTAGGCAGATGGCTGTAAGGTATGGAGCTTAGAGGAGAGGTTGGGGTTGGAGAGAAAATTTGGGGAGATGTGTTGATGTCCTGTAAAGCTGGGGACAAGAAAGGAAGCACAGCGAGCCAGAGGACAGTTTTGGGCTAGACTCTGGGGCACAGCACTGTTTAAGTTTGGGTATGGAGGGAGAAGCCCGCAATGACAATTGAGAAGCAGCAACTAAACAAGTCAGAGGAACACTAGAAGATAGAAAGTACAGTAAGGCAGGAGAAGATATAGTTCTAGAAGTAGGGAGTAATGAACTGTGTTGAATACCACTGGGATACTGAGTAAGACAAGGACAGAGACATGTTCATTCAGATTAGATAATGCACAATGTATTGGTATCCTTAACCAAAGCATGTAAAGTCGGCGGTGTGACCTGAGTGGCCTGAGCAGTGAGCAGAATTGAGAACACAGTGAAAAACTCTTTCAAACTCTTTTAAAAGCCCTTTGCTAGGAAGGAAAGTAGAGAGAAGGGGGAGAATCTGGAGAACATATGGTCTAGAATTTTTTTAAGATAGGATACAGTAGACTCTGCAGTAAGCCTGCAAGGCAGGAGTCACAGAAGACATGGGCTTAATCCCTAGGTCAGGAAAATCCCATGGAGGAGGGCATGGCAGCCCACTCCAGTATTCTTGCCTGGGGAATCCCATGGACAGAGGAGCCTGGCGGGGCTACAGTCCATACAGTTGCGAAGAGTTGGACACAACTGAAGCGACTTAGTACGCACACATGCACAATAGGCTCTAATATAGAGACTGTAGCACAGTAGGAATTATCTGTTACCTGTATGGGAAGTATATTTGTTTTCTGCTGCTGTGCAACAAAGTACAATAAGCCCCCTACATACTAACCTTCAGGTGGCAAACTTTCAAACATGCGAACGTGCATTCACATGTCCAAGCATGTGAGTTAGTTCATGTGTCTGGCATACTTTGTCACTCGTGTGCATCCTCTGCAAGTGGTTGTGCTTCTGTATGCATTACTATATAGTACAGTATAGAGTACAGTTGTTCAGTGTCTTTATTTCAAGCCCAGGATGTCCAGAAGCAAGTGTAAAAGCAGCAGTGATGTAGCTGGTACTGCTAAGAATGGCCAAGCAATAACAATGGAAACAGAAGTGAAAATAATTGAGGGTGGAGCGAGGCAAAAAGATTGTAGATGTCAATTATTCTATAACATGAATCATTCAGCCATCAGCACAAGTCTAAGGACAAGATCATGTAAAGTCTGCTCTGCCAATGATGTCCACAACAATATTGAAGAAGCGTAGAAAAGTGATGGAGATGGAGAAACTTCTCAGTGTTTGGTTGCAGGATCAGAGTCCCACTCAGCTTACTGCTGATTTGAGAAAAAGCTAAAAGCCTTTATGAAGACTTGAAGAAACACAGTGAAAAATCAAAGGGCACATCTTTTAATGCCAGCTATGGCTGGTGTCATTGGTTGAAGGCTAGAGCCAACCTTCCTGATGTAAAAGTAAGTGGAGAGGCGGCTAGTGCGAGTGCAGATATGGTAGCTGCCTGGGAAGTTCCGGAAATGCATCCAGAAGTTACTGAAGTACCAAAGAGCGTCACAGCACAGGAGATGGCAAGGAGATGTTCTTTATCTGAGGAGGGTCTGTTAGTTTTTGAGTCGCAGGACTCAAAGGTAGAGCAGGGCACGAAGGTTGCAGCAGTTGTTCAGAATGCAACCCAGTGCTGCTGTTTCATCTACGACAAAGAAAATGAGAAAAAAGGAGCCACTACCCAGACATCACTGGGTAGAGAGAATGTCTATGTCAGGACTGTCCGATGGAGGGCAAGCTGCAATGTCACTCACGCCTGATGCCATCAATGTGATATTGCAGCTTGCCCTCCATCTCCTATTGCTGACAATCCTTTAGCTCTACCATCTCCCACTTCCTCTCTCTCCTCCAGTCAGCAACTCTTCTTGCCTGTTCACTTGATGCCAGCCCTTTTGTGCCAGCTGCTATAGTGTACTACTGTACTTTTCAAGGTACTGTAAAATTATGTCTTTGTTATTTTTTAAAATGTATTATTTGTGTGAAAAGTATTATAAACCTATCGAGTACAGTTTCCCAGTTTTCCCAGGTGGTGCCATGGGTAAAGAACCCATCTGCCAATGCAAGAAACACAGGTTCAATCCCTGGAGTGGGAAATGGCAACCCACTCCAGTGTTCTTGCCTGGAAATTTCCATGAACAGAGGGGCTGGTGGGCTGCAGTCCATGGGACCGCAGAGGGTCAAACATGACTGAGCACACACAAACACCGAAGCCAGCGTAGAGTCGATTGTATTAGTTGGGTGTCTAGGCTAACATTGTTGGTCTTACAAACAAATTAGACTTACGAAAGCACTCTCAGAATGGAACTCCTTCATATGTAGGGGATTTACTGTACCATAGGCTTTTTGGCTTACAAGCATTCTCCCAACATCTGTGTGTTAGGAGTCAGGGTCGGGCTTAGCTGGGTCTGCTGTTGAGTCTCACAGGGCTGTAGTCAAAGTGTTGGATAGCCTGTGTTCTCATTGGGAGTCTTGCCTGGGGAAGAATTCACTTCTCAGTTGCCTCTGGTTGTTAGCAGAATCCATTCCCTTTCATCTGCAGGCCTGAAGATCCAGCTTCTTGCTGCCTATTCCTATGCAGGCTGGCCTCAGTTCCTGGAGCCCCTTTTCCCTCAGCCCCACCTCCACTTCTGCAATGCTTTGTTGCATGATTTCTTCAGCATGGCCTCTTACTTCATCAGGTCAGCAAGGAGAATCTAAGCCCCTGTCTGTGGTAAGGTGGAGTCTCATATCAGGCACTGTAATCACAGGAACAATACTGCATCATCATTGCCATAGTCTATTGCTTAAAAGTGAAACATGGGTCCTGCCCACACTTGAGGGGAGGAAATATGCAAGGGCATGAATACCAAGAGGTGAGCATTGTTGTGGGTCGCCTTGGGGAGGAGCGGAAGATAGAGAAAAGAGGGACACCTGCAAGAGGAAGGTCCTTGGAAAAGGGGACCTGGACGCCAAGTATTGATACTGGCCTTTGACAGAAGCAAAGACCCTTCTTCCATTGAGTTAGAGAGAAGGTAGGGAAAGTGGGTCCCGATGGGGGTGGTTGTGCATTGGGTGGTGGTCAGATAAAGTAGTAGTCATCTGATGGCTTCTGCTTCCCCCTGCAGCAGCAGGGAAGGTCATCAGCTGAGACTGAAGGCGCTTTGGAGTAAGAGCTGAAGCCAGGATGTAGTGCTATGAGAGAGCAGGAGAACAGATGTACCAGAGACACCAAATAGAGCAGCTGGATAGTATCAAGGACTCACTTGATGTTGGTGCTTCTTACATGGACAGAGTAAGCACTCTGTCTGGGTGTGTGATTTTCCCAGCTTCATTCCGCTGGTTCAGACACAGAATAATAATAACAGAAAGAATCCAAGCTAATGTTTATCAAGTTATTTAATTAACTATGCTAGCACAAATCTGGGCTTCCCCTGTGGCTCAGAGGTCATCTTCCTGCAGTGCAGCAGACACAGGAGATGTTGGTTCAATCCCTGGATTGGGAAGATCCCCTAGAGGAAGGTGTAGTAACTCACTCCAGTATTCTTTGCCTGGAGAATTTCATGGACAGGGGAGACTTGCAGGAGATAGTCCAGTGGGTTTTCAAAGAGTCAGATATGACTGAGCATGCACATACAGTGCAGGTCTAAGTGTACAGTCTCATTGAAACTTCATTACATATCCCTGTCAGGCATTATTATATCATCCTCATTTTACAGAACTGATAAGCAATTTACTTAAAAATACACAGGTGTTAGGTGGCAGATCAGGGGTTTGAGTCCTGGGCAGTCCAACTCCACATCTAGTACCATTAAGCCTTACACTTTAATGTCTCTTGTTGGAGACAAAGCAGAGAGCTATATTTGGCAGAGATGAAATTTAGCCAGGTGGTTGAGCAATGGAAAGAGAGACTATATTGTTGATGAAGTTGATACTGCTGTGACTATAATGATGGACTATGGGCCCTAAGAAAAGTAAGGACAGGAAGGGGCCATGTGGTAAAAAGTTAGGGGTGAGTGGATTGGAGAAAACAAAGGGGAACCAATAAAATCATTCAAAGAATAGGAATGAAATGCAGGACAGTTTGGATTCCAAGATAATGTTAATGAATATTTTCTGAATACTTATAAACCAGGAAGTGTGCTAAATACTTTATATGAAGGAGGCTCTCCTGAGAAATTATGATTTGGGAATTGGTATGCTCCAGCTGGGGGTTTCCCCAGTGGTTCAGCAGTAAAGAATCCACCTGCAATGCACGAGATGTAGGTTTAGTCCTTGGGTAGGGAAGATCCCCTGGAGGAGGGCATAGCAGTCCACTCCAGTATTTTTGCCTGGAGAATCCCGATGGACAGAGGAGCCTGGCAGGCTACAGTCCATAGGGTCGCAAAGAGTTGGACACGACTGAAGCAACTGAGCATGCTCGCACACCTGCTCCAGCTGAATGTACCAACTTGGACCTGGAATAACACACCTGAGGCTGTTGGTCACAGCAGAGCTGTGGTTCACATCCAGAGCCTGTGCTTTTAATCTCTCCCTATTTGTTTGCGATGTTTATGTCCATTTACATTGAGGAGGATTTGCTACAGCTCAGGAACTAGAGGAATAGATACTAAGTATCTGAAATGCTTGATTGCTATCATGGACACTAAGTTGGGCTTTAAATGAGACAAGAAGGGAAACTTTGTGTTACATAGTTGTCAATTTCTGATCAAAGAAGTTTCACATTTTCTGCAATGGTAAGATCCACACAGCCCCCAAAAACCAAAAGAAACTAACCTCCTGGGTCCTTGAATGATGAATAGCAGATAAATATCTTCAACCAGAACTTTATTTTTTATAAAAGAAAAAATACAAGGACTCGATCAATCGGAGGAAGGATCCTAGTATAAGTTGTTACTTAGTGAAAGCAAAGCAGTAGGGGGCTGAGATAACAAGGCCAGACTTTGCTCTGTGATGCTGTGTATTAGTTGAGGGATGAGAGCCAGAGAATCTGAAGAGATTGATCATGTACTGTTATATAATAAGTTTAGGAGAAACCTGGACCTGAAAGACTGCTGGTAGTTCTATTAAGAGCTCATCTATTGAAAAATTGGGAGGACAGGTTTGTAAGTGAGATTGTCGTTGTTTATAGTCACTCAGTAGGAGAAGGCAATGGCACCCCACTCCAGTGCTCTTGCCTGGAAAATCCCATGGACAGAGGAGCCTGGTAGGCTGCAGTCCCTGAGGTTGCTAAGAGTCGAACACGACTGAGCGACTTCACTTTCACTTTTCACTTTCATGCGCTGGAGAAGGAAATGGCAACCCACTCCAGTGTTCTTGCCTGGAGAATCCCAGGGATGGGGGAGCCTGGTGGGCTACCCTCTATGGGGTCGCACTGAGTCGGACACGACTGAAGTGACTTAAGCAGCAGCAGTCACTCAGTAAGGTCTGACTCTTTGCGACCCCATGGACTGCAGCACATCAGGCCTCCCTGTCCTTCACTATCTCCCTGAGTTTGCTGAAACTCATGTCCACTGAGACAATGATGCCATCCAACTATCTCATCCTCTGTCATCCCTTTCTCCTCCTGTCTTCAGTCTTTCCCAGCATCAAGGTCTTTTCCAATGAGTTGGCTCCTTGCATCAGGTGGCCAAAGTACTGGAGCTTCAGCTTCAGCATCAGTCCTTCTAATGAATATTCAGGACTGATTTCCTTTAGGATTGACTGGTTGGATCTCCTTGCTGTCCAGGGAACTCTCAACAGTTTTCTCCAGCACCACAGTACGAAAGCATCAGTTCTTTGGCACTTAAGTGAGATGATATATGTCAAAGTGTCCACTTTCAGTGCTTAATAAATGTTACTCAAGAGGAATCTGCTTCATGTATGCTGGCTCTGCAGGGACGTCTCTCAGACTGTCTCTGGGCTATCAGATGACTTTATGAAGCCCTTGGCAGGGACTGTGTGCAAGCACTGAATTTCAATTTATTAACAAGTATATGTGTTGCACACGGTCTGCATTGGCTCAAGGGGAAGGCATGTGCCTCTGATACCAGACAAAGTTGTCATTCACTGAACTGTCTTTGCCAGACGTGGAAGTGAAACAGATTATCTGGTAACCCGACACCCTCCTTCAACTGCTCAGGACACTGGGGCTGGGAAATCAGAAATGCCTTGTCTAGTTAGGGCTGACTAGCCAGTTAGGCAGGGCCAGGATTAGCACCTGGTCTGCCAAAGCCAAGTTATCACCCTCCTTGCCTAGTAGTCCTTTGTGCCTGGAATGATCTGTCTGTACCTCCTTTTCTCCCTTGGAGTTGTAGTTAGAAAAATCAGTTTCCTGAAATGATCCACCACTCACTGTTTATCCACTTCTATTCTGGGAACACTCTGCTTTCTAAAATACATCAGGGAGAGGTGGTCTCACTTGCGGCTGTGGGAGGTGGGCAGGACCCTCTGTGAATCCTGTTCGTATCAGTCCCCACTTCTGGGCAGTTCCCAAGGCACTTGTGTACTCAGAGGATGACTT